TGGAAAAAATAGAGCTGGTGAGATAGCTCAGAGGGCAAAGGCACTTGCTGCCAAGACTGAAGACCTGAGCTTGATTCTTTATTTTTATTTTTATGTGTATGAGTGTTTTGTCTCTAAATATGTTGCATATCACAGGCATGCAATACCTGCATAGGCCAGAAGAGGGCATGAGATTCCCTTGGAACAGGAGTTAGCCACTATGTGGTGCTGGGAATCAAACTCAGTCCTTTACAAAAGCAATCGGTGCTCTTAACTGCTGAGTCATCTCTCCAGCCCACTGAGTTTGATTCTTGTGTACCACATGGTGGAAGGAGAAAATTGGCTCTACAAGTTGTCCTCTGATCTCCATAGGTACACCACCCACCCATACAGGAAAGAGACTGGACAGGGAGATGGCAAAGAAAAGGGGGGAGGGGAGGGGGAGGGAGAGGGAGGAAGGAAGAAAATATACTACTACTATACACAGAATCCAAGTCATAAATGTACAGCTTAATGCATTTTCACAAATGGATCACACCTATGGGACTGGCTAGCTGCTGAGACAAAGGGGGCCAGACACAGAAAAGCCCTTCTCATAATGTCACCTGATCTCTCCCACCAAACCCCTCCCACAAGTAACAACTCTCTTGCCTCTAACATTGGTTAGGTTTGTTTATCTGAACTTTGTGTATGTGTCTGGCTTCTTTCACCAAGCATAATGGTTGTGGTGTTCACCCCTGCTGCTGCGTGTTGCTGTAATATACTGGTTCCCATTGTATGGTGTGCTAAACTGTCAATTTGACATGACCTGGAATCACCTGGAAAGAGAGCATCAATTGAGGAATTATTGAGATCAGGCTGGCCTGTGGGCATGTCTCTAGGGGATCAAGTTGCTTGTTAATTAACCCAGCCCATTGTAGGTAGCACCATTCCCTAGGCTGTGCCCTAAACTATAAGGAAGGATAGCAAGCAAGGAAGGATGCATTTATTCTCACTTTGCTCTTGACCGTGGATGTGATGTGACTAGTTGCTTTAAGTTCCTGCCACCTTGAGTAGCCTGCTAACCTGGAATTGTAAGTCAAATAAACCCTTCCTCTCCTAAATTGCTTTTGGTCAGGATATTTTATCACAGCGGCAAACGTGAAACTAGAGCATATGATATTTCCGTTTTGTGACTAACCATAATTTCTTTCTCCCAGTGCTGGTTGGTGAACATGCTAAACATGAGCTCTACCCCTGAGTTGCACTCCCATAAATTATGTATCCATTCTATCCCTGGCAGACTTTCAAGCTGTTTCACTTTGTGGTTATTATGAAGACCACTGGTAAGAACACTTGTGAACTTGCTTCTCGTGAATACTGAGTAGAAGAACTACTAGGTCAGAGGCTGTACATGTGCTCAGCCTTCATAGATTCTGCTAAGTAATTTCCAGAGTAACTCTCCCACAAGTAGTGAGAATTCCCATCATTCCATATTGATATCATTACTATTATCAATTTTTAGATCATGTGTTGATACCTGTCATGGCTTTGCTTTTCTTTTTCCTTAATAATGAACATGTTTGTGGACTCTTTGGATCTTCCTTTTCGTAGAGCTCTCGTCTTTTAATCACTGGGTTATCTTCCCCTTATTGTGGGAATTCTTTTTGTATTCTGGAAATGAGATCCTTTATAGATACATCCAGATACATGCAATAGTCTATTTTGTAGGGTCTTACTATGTAGCCCTGACTGTCCTGGAACTTGCTATGTAGACCAGGTTGGCCTTGAACTCACTTATGTCTCCAGAGCATTGGTATTAAAGGCATGTGCTGCTAGGCCTGATGTCTTCTTTTAAATCATATTTAATACAAACATTTAATTTGTGGATGTAGCACAGTGGTAGAGTGCCTGCTTAGCATGTGCAAGGTCATAGGTTTGATCCCAGTAACAAGAACACACAAAAATTGTCCAAGTACCTTGGGGCTGGAGAGATGGCTCAGCAGTTAAGAGCACTGACTGCTTTTGCAGAGGACTGGGATTTGATTCCCAGCACTGGCATAGCCGCTAACAACCATTTGTAACTCCAGTTCTAGGGGATCTGACACCCTCTTCTGACCTCAATGGGCATTGCATGACATGGGTGCACTTATACACATGCAGGCAATGCACTCATACACATAAAATATAATAAATAAAATTAAAAAAATATTGTCCAAGTACCTCACCATGATCAAAAATATTAAGTAAACTAAATTTATTTGGGCCAGGCTAATACCTGTTTGAAATTTTTTCCAGGTTTTTTTTTTTTTTTTGGTCTTTTTGAGACAGGGTCTCCCTGTGGCCTCAGCTGGCCTGGAACTTGCTATGTAGTCCAGGCTGGCCTCCATCTCACAGAGATCCACCTGCCTCTGTCTTCAAAGTGCTGGGATTAAATGCATGTGCCACCACACCTGGCTTTTTTTTTCTCCAGTGTTTTAAAACAGACTTTGTCTTAAAACTGTCACTGTAACCAGACTGGCATGGAAGTCTCAATCCTTCTGCCTCAGCCTCCCAGAGTGCTGAGATTATAGGCATGCACCACTATGCATGGCTTTCCCAAGCAGTTTTTACTTTTTTGCCTACATGTATGTAAGTGCACCTGTGTCATGCAATGCCCATGGAGGTCAGAAGAGGGCATTAGATTCCCCTGGAACCGGAGTTATGAACAGCTGTTAGCTGCCATATCAAACCTGGGGCCTCTCCAATATCAGCCAGTGCTCTTAACCGCTGAACCATCTTTCCAGCCCTACTTATTGTAAATTTATGTAAATGCTTACCATTCTTTAGATCAGTCAAAATATGAGTTCCCCTAAATCTGTAATCTCCCCAGTTTCTTGTGTAGTTGTGCAAAGGTGTTTTGTAAAAAGAATTGCTCTTTCTCTGTGTTAGCAACATGCAGTTTTGTTAACATTGTAGAACTTTTATTTCCCTCAGAATAGGGTTTAGGTAAAGAATCAACTCCTTTAAAAATTTTATTTGTGTGTAAGTAATGTGTGTGTGGGGGGTGTGGATGTTGCACATGCTACAGTCTCAACAACTTCAATTTTATGGCTTTTTTCTACCCTTCAGTTCAGGTGGATTCCAAGGATCAAACTCAGGCCTTGAGGCTTGCATCACTGGGAAGCAAGCACCTTTACCTATTGAGCTGTCTGGCTGGCCCTCAATTCCTTTTAAAGTTTGATGTTTTTAAGTCTGTTTTGAGATGAACTAGCTTACCCTCAGCAAACCAGAAACGTCTGCATTATTAGGCTGCTTCTCTCCCTGTGGTGCCATACCTGGATTCTCTTTCTCGGTTTCTCTGGGTGTCCTGGGCTCCTGTGGCCCCACTCTTCAAACTCTCCCCTGGGTTGGAAAGGCATCCCAGGCTCCTGGTGAAGGAGAGTGTGTTGCTACTTAGTATTTGTGAATCACCAACAAAGACCAGAGGCAACTGGGAAGAAAGAGAGAGGCTAGACGGATTCCGCGGAGACCAGAGGGAGGAACCACAGCACGAGCTGAGTCATCGCTGGGAACATGTCAATAGTCCGCCACATTCAATGAGGGGAAAGGGTGGTGAGCAGTGCCCCCTCGCGGACTTCTGATGCAACAACAGATCAGAGGCGCTAGTACCCGAGGAGCTGCCTAGAAAAATGCCTCCTAAAGGGTTCAGTGGGTACCAGTGTTCAGTTTCTGGCCCCGATACTGTCCTGGTCCCTGTTCGTAGCAGATGTTTCCCCTGGTCACGTGGCATTGTCTCACTTGCTAGAGCCAGGAGATCTCGTGGACTCAGGCTCGGCGCCCCTCACCAAGCAAAGCTCTAAGCATCTTCCTGTTTTTGCCCTTGTTTTCTAGGGCTCTAGCTGCTCCTCTTTTTGACCCAACACCTAAGGGCTGGTCATATCGTGCACACACACACACACACACACACACACACACACACACACACACACTTATTCTGTGGTAGGTCTCCTTGCCCCACAGAAGTCAGACACGCTTAAGCAACATATGGGATGATGGGAACAGATCAGGATCTGCTTCCGGAGTTCCTCCCACCCCCCCCCCCGCACCCCACCCCGTCCCCCATAGAGGCCACTCCCAGATTCCGATTTTCTATAAGGAGCCTCCACTTGCTCCCCTCACATTTCAGTTTCAGAGGATCTAACACTGAGCAGCCCGGTGTTACACTGTGTGTACATCAGGAAGGTTACTTCTGTGTCCAAATTTATTTATTTATTTTTATTTTATTTTATGTGTGTGTTTTATCTGCATAAATGTAAGTGCATCTGTGCTGTGCAATGCCCACCGAGGCCATCTTCTAGTTCAATGGATCTTAGATACAGGCAAGTCCTTAAGTCCACTAGGCAACAGGTTCTCTTCAGTTAAAATGGCTGGAATAAACACTCCCTCAGATGGTTCATGTGAGGTTTAACTGAAATAACAGACATAAAATATGCAATTAAATTGTGGCACAATAAGTACTCAAGCAACTGTTAGTGGTAGTGGCTGAGAAAATAATAGTGCTTAGTATCATTGTCTGACAACAGTTATAATTTGTTCTCAAAAGTATTCTTTTGGGGGAGGGCTGGAGACATACACACAAAATAAAATAATAAATAAAATATTTTTAATAAAATTAACTTTTTTGGTCTTTTTTTGAAACAGGGTCTCCCTGCAGCCCCAACTGGCCTGTAATTCACGTAGACCAGGCTTGCCTCTGCCTCCTGAGTGCTGGGATTAAAGGCGTGGGCCACCACACACGGCCCCAAATTAAAATTTTAAGGGTTCTTTTGGAGACTTGGCTAAATAATGCAAATCGAAAACTTTGGAACCTGTAAATGTTTTATGTAGTGTCAAGTCGGAGGGGGGTGGGCTATGCCTCCGAACGGCCAGGCCACAGCCCCAGACCGGCAGGCTCTGACTCAAGGTACGTGAGCCCCGGCCCTTCACCCGCTCGCCCCGCCCCTTCACCCGTTCGCCCCGCCCCTTCACCCGCTCGCCCCGCCCACGGGCGCATGCGCACGCCGGCCGCTGAGGACCGAGGCGATGATTCTGGGGCTGTGGTCCTGGGGCCCGCGCCTGGCTGGTGGTGCGGTGGGTGGGAGGCTGCGCTTCTCACGGGCGTCGCGGGCCGGGCTCGGTGGGTCCCTGGGCGGGGAAGACGGCCGGGCCGCCCGAGTCCGCGAGAAGCCGCCCTGGCGGGTGCTCTTCTTCGGCACGGACCATTTCGCCCAGGAGGCGCTGCGGGCGCTGCACACCGCCAGGTACCCGGGCGGGCATGGGGTGCGGGGCGTGGCCACCAAGCCGCGGATCTGCTAGTGCCCGGCGCCCGGAAGGCACGCCGCCGGGTCGGGTCTCCACGCCTAGCTCCCGGCCGCCGCTGCCTCTCCGGCCCGCGCAGCTCCTGCAGCACTTGCTTGCGGGCCTGCCACTTCCCCGCGCGGGAGCTGCCGCCTGGGGAGGCCCAGCCGGTGGACTAGAATGGACCGGCACTCCCAAGTTCGCCCCTTCCCAGGGTTGCTGAGTCCTTCCAGCCGTCCACTTGGTGGCCTCTGCGCCCTCGTCGGGCACGTGCACCCTTCTGCACACCCGTTTTATGGGGTTGAAGCGAACTGGTTTCAAATGAATACTTTTATAATTTAGAACAGTTGGGCATACACTTAGTATTTATAACATTGACCAAATACTGTTTACTGGGGGAAAAGTTATTTGTAATTCCGTCTGTCGAAAGTCCGTGAAACGCGGCAGTGCCAGGTCTGGTCTCCACTGGTCCCGTTTCTGCCCTCTCCACCTCATCCTTCCTACAGTTATTTTTCTTTTTAAAAAGTGTTTAAAAAATGTGTCTTTGTGTGTGTGTTAGTGTCTTCGGAGACCAGAAGGAAGTGTCAGAGACCCTGGAGCTGTTACAGACGATTGTGAGCTGCCCGATGGGGGTGCTGGGACGGAGCTCCTGACCCCTGAAAGCCGGCAAGCATTCTTAACTGCTGAGCCGTCTTTCCAGTCCCCTACAAATACTTCACAGCAGCCCCTCATATAATGAATCTTATCCACCTTTGTATCCTACTGTGCTTCCACACTCCCCTCTGTACACACTCCAGGAAACACCACTTACACCATGTTGTCTTCTGGCATCATCCATATACTCCTGTTTCCTTCTTGTCAGACATATCTCTCATCCTGTATCCTGACCCTCTGATGGTGTTTCAATTACCAGTTCCATGACCCTTTTCTTCTTAGTGCCCTGATAACATATGCTTTTTCTTATAACTCTTCAATATGTGTGTGATGCCTGTTTAATAAGTAAATATACAGCCCTGAACAAGGAATACTATGCAGCAGGTAAAAGTGAGGCATTGCCCCATGTACTGCCATGGAATGATGCCCATGCTTTGTGTGTGTGTGTGTGTGTGTGTGTGTGTATTTGTATGGGAGGGGTCTTTTTGAGACATGGTCTCCCTGTAGCCCCAGCTGGCCTCTGTGTGTGTATTTTAAGTATTGTTTAAATGGTACATAGTTATGATATAAAAATTCCATATACTTGCCAGGCTGGTGCTACATCTCTTTAATCCCAGCACTGAGGAGGCAGAGGCTGGTGAATCTCTGTGAGATGGAGATGAGCCTTCTGGTCTACATAATGAGTCCCAGGCCAGCAGGGGCTACAAGGAGACCTTGTCTTAAAAACAAAAACAAATAAAAACAAACAAAAAAACAAAAAAAACCCTACAAAGTTCCATATATTCAGATACTCAAAAGATAGAGTGAAAAATAATTTCCTTCTACCTCTGCCTCCATTTCGTCTCTCTAGAAACAGTGTTTTCAGTTTCATATTCTCCTAGAAATATCTGGTGCATATACAAGTATGTGTGTCTGTGTGTCTTTATGTATTTTTTTTTTTTTGTCTGTTTGGTTGTGATCTTGAGCTCTCCAGCCCTGTATCATGTTTTTGTATGTTCACAAACTCTCTAGAATGAAGCTGTGTAAATGGTAGCTGCTAACTACATACAGCTCTTTAAATTTCAGTTAATTAGGGCTGGCAAGGTGGCTCAGCAGGTAAAGGTGCCTGCCACCAAGCCTGACAACCTAAGATCAATCCCTGGGACCCACATGGTAGATGGAATGGAGAGAGCAGACTCCCATAAGTTGTTGTCTGACTGCCACATGAATGGCATGGCACACTGGTGCCCACACACATAGACACAAACAAATGTAAAAGTATTAATAAATAGGCAAAACGCTGGTATGGTGGCATTAGCCTGTAATCCCAGCAGTTAGGAGGCAGAGGCAGGAAGATTATCAAAAGTTCAAGGCCAGCCTGGTCTGCATAGTAAATTCCCAAGCCAGCCAAAGTGAGACTTTGTCTCAAAAAAATAAATCAAGAAATTAGGTCTGTTGAGATGGTAAAAGCTTTGTTATAACGAGGCTGACAGCCTAAGTTCAATCTCCAGAATTCTCAGTGTGAAGAGAAAACACTCCATAAAGTTGTTCTCCGATCTCTGCATGTGGACTGTGGTCTTTTTTGTGTATGCGTGTGTCTAGCAGCAAAGCTATTTTCATGATTAAACTCATGAAGCATTTAGGATGAAAATTTAAAAATTGTATTTATTGTGTGTGTTTGTGTATATGTGTATAAGTGGCACATGTGTGCCAAGAAGCATGTGTGTCATTGTATTCATGTGAGCCAAGCGTGGTGTCGCATCCCTTTAATCCCAGCACTTGGGAGTTAGAGGCAGGCCCATCTCCATAGCTAGTTCCAGGCCAGGTAGGGCTACAGGAAGATCCTGTCTCAAACAAAACAAAACAGATAGCTTTCTGCTCATGGAGTGGTTTCACTCTGAGTTGTTGCCCTGGCATGTTCACATTTTTCTCTGATCTTTATAATTTAGAGAAAAAGAGGAGGAGTTAATTGAAAAACTGGAGGTGGTCACAGTGCCTTCGCCATCCCCGAAAGGACTGCCAGTGAAGCAGTACGCGGTGCAGTCCCAGCTTCCTGTGTACGAGTGGCCGGATGTGGGATCTGGAGAATATGACGTTGGAGTAGTGGCTTCCTTTGGCAGACTTCTGAGTGAGGCTCTTATTCTTAAATTTCCCTAGTAAGTTTTATTTATTTAAGTTTTTTGGTTTATTTGTTTTATGTGTATGAGTGTTTTGCCTGCATGAATATAAATGTACCCATGTCATACAATGCCTGCAGAGGTCAGAAGGGCATCAGATCTCCAGAAACTGGAGCTGCCATATGGGTGCTGGGAACTGAACCTTGGTCCTCTGCAAGAGCAGCCAGTGTTCTTTATCTCTGAGCCAGCTCTCCAGCCCCTAAGTTTTATTTATGAGGACGTAGAGTATAAAGACCATAGTCTTTATCTTGCATCTAAAAACACCATAATTTGAACTCTTATGTTTTTCTTTTTTTAATATTTTATTATTTTTGTTTTATGTATATGAGTGTATTGCCTGCTTGTGTGTAAATGCCCCCGTGTCATGCAGGACCCGTGGAGGTCAGAAGAGAGTGTCAGATTCCCCTGGAACTGGAGTTACGGATGGTTGTTAGCCACCATGTGGGTGTAGGCAAAATACTCAGACACGTAAAATAAAAAATAATAAAATATTTAAAAAAAATTCATGGACCCGTGTGATTTTTTTTTTTTTTTTTTTTTTTTTTTTTTTTTTTAGTTTATTTATTTTGTGTGTGTGTGTTTGCCTTTGCACACCTCATGGTGTGTACACATGGAGATCCTGGGGATCGAATTCAGGATATCAGGCTTGGCAGCAAATGTCTTTACCTGCTGTGCCATCTTGCCAGCCCCAGTATCTTTTAAAATAAGACCTTATTTGTGGCATTAACCAAAGTGTGTTAAGCTCTTCATCACTCTCTTGTCTTGCCCACATTTAAGTTACATATATGCACTGACAACCCCAACCCAACTCTTCCTGACCTCTAGGCGTCCACAGTTCTCTTGGATGTCAGATAGGCACCTCTCACTGAAGAGACTCAAAACCTCCCCAAATCTTTTTCTCCATAAGAAGCAACCCCAACCCTTGGTTGCTTGGACCTGAAATCCTACCCTATATCCATCTAGTCCATCAGGAAATCCTGTTGGCTGTGCCTTCAAAATCTGTCTAGAATATTCTGACCATATCACATCATCCACACTGCTACCATTCGTGCCTGTATTAACTGCTGTCACCTCCTAGCTGGTCTCTGCTTCTATCTTTGGCCCTGTCAGTGCTTTACTAACCCAGCAGCACAGTGATCCCTTTAAAGCAGAATTCAGACTATGTCACTGTTCAAAACCTTCTGTTAGCTTTCCATCTCACAGAATGAGTCAGAGCCCTATGTTGACCCATTAGAACCTCTTTTGGTCCTCTGCTGGTCCTGTAGCCTCTCCTGATTCATTCCACACCAGCTCAGCTTGCCTTAAACTTGGCAAGCTCTTTCCTTTCTTTAAGATCTCTGTACATGGGAGCTAGAGAGTTCAAAGCAGTTAAGAGCAGTTGCTTACAGCAGACCTGAGTTGGGTTCCCAGCATCTAGTGAGTTTGAAGGTACCCTGGGCCACGAGTCTCAAAAAAAATAAAATGAAAAGAGTTCCCAGACGTCTTGAGCTATTGTAGGACATCTTTAAAATAAGAGATAGTTGCTTTGCTCTGTTTTTGATTAAGCTTTATAAGTTTTTTATGATAAGAACTAACAACTGTGACATTTTGTTTTAATAGTACAAGCCTTAGTTTAGCAGTCAGGGTTTTGGGGGTTGTTGTTTTGAGACAGGGTCTCAGTCTGTAGCCCAGGCTGTCCTGGAATTCGTGGCAGTCCTGTTGTCTTGTCCCAAATTCTGGGATTATGAGATACATCATCATACCAGGCTCATAGAAAGTTTAATGATGAAAGTAGCATGGTAGTTTAGGTAGCAGTAACTCATTCCCCACTAATTTCTGCATTTTCTAATTCAGTGGCATATTGAATGTGCACCCCAGTTGCCTCCCGAGGTGGCGTGGTCCTGCCCCAATAATCCATACAGTGCTTCATGGAGACACGGTTACTGGAGTAACAATTATGCAAGTTAGACCTAAAAGGTAGAGCATATTAACTTTTCCTGAGACTTTTGTGATTTTAAATGTTGGTGTTGGTCTGTCCCGGGCCTTGGCAGTCAGGGGAATGTATGGAGCGCACTGATTCGGGTAACTTCTCCAGTGTTGCCTTTGCTTTTGCTTTTTTTTTTTTTTTAAATTTATTTTGGTCTTTTTGAGATAGGGTCTCCCTGTAGCCCTGGCTGGCCTGGATTCACTATGGAGACCAGGCTGGCCTTGAACTCAGAGAGATCCACTTGCCTCTGTCTCCTGAGCTGGGATTAAAATGAAGGCTGCACTACCACATCCAGCTTTTTTTTTTTTTTTTTTACGTGTATGAGTGTTATGCCTGCATGTATGTACCCATGTCATTTAGTGCCCACAGAAGACAGAAGAGGGCATCAAATCCCCTGGAACTGGAGTTCCAGACAGTGGTTAGCTGCCATATGGGTGCTGGGATTTGAACCCAGGTCTTCTGTAAGAACAGCCATGCTCTTAACCCCTGAGCCATCTCTCCAGCCCTGCCTTTACTTTTGTAGTCTTTGTTGTCAAATGGAAACTCTGTGTCTCCCGAGATTTATGCAGGGTCTCTTTTAAAGTTCTTGTGAAATTGTTAATTGAAATTTTTATTAACACCTGGGTTTCTATAAAAGACATTTTATAAACGAGAGATGGATTTGCTTGTTTTATATTATTTTTGAGATGGTTTCCAGGCTGGCCTCAAACTCACTATATAGCCAAGGAAGGAGGACCTTGAACTTCTGATCCTCCTGCCTCCATTTTCTGAGTTCTGGGATTATAGGCTGGAGCCAGCACACCATGCTCAAATCTAAGTACAGGCCATATTTTGTTCTGTTTCAAACTCACATTTCTCCATTGGTAATGGTTGACAGTCAAATTAGTAGCCTGTAGTAAGCTATCTTTTTGTTATGTAAACAAATGTATTGGTCTTAAGAAATAATTATGTTATCTGCATTTGATTTTTTCCTAGGTTTGATATAGGACCAATTCTGAAGCAGGAAACTGTCCCTGTGCCTCCCAAAAGCACCTCAAAGGAATTGGAAGTGGTATTATCAAAACTTGGTGCCAACATGGTACAGTTACCTAGTGTTCACTGGTTTTTAGTCATTCAATAGGTTTCTTAAGTAATAAGAGGGAAAGAATAATCTTATGATTTGTAAGTTTTAAACTTCATCGAGAGAGATGGCATGGTTATAATTCCCTGTAATCTCAGCACACAGGAGGCTGAGGCAGGAGAATCATGTTCCAGATCAGCCTGGCCTACATAGTAAGGCCCCATCTCCAACAAGCAGTGATTCATATACTTGGCTTTCTGAAAAAATTAGCCTAGCATTTGTGATCTTTGAGGAACTGCAGAGTGGATACTTAATAGAGCTGTTCAAGTGAAACAGTGATGTTCTGTAGTCTAGAATCTTCCCAGGTTCTCTCCTAACTCTCACGCCTGCACTCTGCCTACGTGTCATAGAACTAGCAGCTGTTTCTTGAGTGACTCAGCTTTCCTCCCACTTCTGCCCTGTGTTCTAGTGTTACCTTTAGATGGTCTTTCTTTTCTGTGGCTCTGAATCTTGTTCAATATGAAACAATAAAATCTGGGTAAAAGCATAATGACTAGTTCATGTTTTTCATGTGAACTTGTGAATTTTAAACAATGAAAAAAATAATTTTCCATCTGTCTAGATGGTACTTCCTAGTCTGGGAACTCTCTTGGAAGTGATCTGCCATTTACTGAGCTTGGTTCATGTGCTAAGACTGTTCTACTTACTCTGTGAACTGTCTTTTTCACCCTCCAAACAAACCTTTGCCATCCCTTGTTTTACAGCTATGACATTGAAGGTCACAGACAAGTTAAAGAACTTTTCTAGCCAGGCATGGTGGTGCATGCCTTTAGTCCCAGCTCTTGGGAGGCAGAGGCAGGTAGATCTCTGTGAGTTCAAGGCCGCCTGGGGCTACAGGGACCCTTGATGTAGTATATATATTCAATGAAAAAAAAAAAAAAAAAAAAAAAAAAAAAAAACAACTTTTCCAGCTGGGCATGGTTCGCACCCCATGCAAGAGGTAAGAGACAGGTAGATCTCTATGAGAACGTTCCCCTGTGAGGCCCCTCTGCCTTCTGTAGGATGAGGGTGCAGGTAGTTACACACAATCCACCCTAATCCTGACAGCTGTGCAGACAGCCTGGCACTGTTTGGAAGCAGTTCCATGACCATAGTCCACAGAGTGTAGCTTGGTGCACCCCCCACCAGACAGGCCCAGCCAGTTTGCCGCCCTGCCCTGCCACCCTGCCCTTTTTCAGTTATGGTACTTCATGATACTGAACTGTAATGTATTTCTGCCTTGTTCTGTTCCTTTTGAACATACCCTGTGCTCTCTCCTTTTTTGTAGCTTATCTCAGTTTTGAAAAATTTACCTGAAAGTCTGAAATGTGGAAGGCAGCAGCCCACCGAGGGAGTAACGTACGGTGAGTGACAGCCACAGATACTTCACAGGTACTTTCAGGGCTTGTAAAAGTGTGTCCCGGTGGCTGCTGATCTTTTGATTTTGATTTTGGCAAGACAGAGTTACCTACTTTATGTCTTTTCCCAAAGATTGGTTGGTACGGTCTCCCTCTTAGCCTATGGCTTCATGCCTCGATGTTTTCCTCCAACTTTTTATTGAGAAGCCCTAAGAGTGGTGATCAATTGGAAGACAAGTATAACAGACTTCTCTTTGCCAAACCAGCAATCATTAATGTCGGCCATATTTTCTTTCAGTGTGTATTTAGTGCATATATTTGAAATTTTGCTTGTTCATTTTTAAGCTTGAATAATGAATTTTATCTGCAGGCCCTTTAGCATGTGTTTCCTAAGAACAATGAGCAGCCCTAATCATACCCAGTATCCAGTTCAGGCTTAGTTTTCCTAACTGTCCAAACAAGTATTTTATAACTGGTTAAAACAAACTGGGATTCAAGGAACACATTTTCAGGACTGCTTGAATTTTTGTTTTCTGCTATTATAATTCTAATTAGTCCCCCCAAAATATAAATTTTTGGCATTTTTGTTTTGTTTGACACAGGGTCTTACTAAGAAGCCTAGGATAGCCTCAAAATCACAGTTATCCTCCTGCCTCAGTCTCCCAAGTGCTAGGATTAGAGGCATGTATTACCACACCTAGCTTAGAAATGTAGTTTTGGGTTTTTTTGTTTTTTTGTTTTTGTTTTTTTTTTGGTAATAATTAAAAATGAAAGAAAAAGGCTAGAGGGGCTGCAGAGATGGCTCAGTGGTTAAGAACACTGGTTGTTCTTACAGAAGACCGGGTTCGAATCCCAGCACCCACATGGCAGCTAACAACTTTCCTAACTCCAGTTCCAGGGGATCCGACAGCCTCTTCTGTCCTCCGCATTGCACGACATGGGTGCACTTACCTACGCAGCGGCAATACATGCATACACATAAAATAAAAATAATAAATTAAAAAAAAAAAAAGTTAGAGGTAGAGGTCCTGCACTAGAATGCTTGCATGGTGTACTGGGTATAACTAGACTACTACAAAAAAATTTTTTAGTATTCAGTTATTTTTGTATCTTTTTTTGTCTCTTTGTTGTTTTTTTTAAATTTTGTATTTTTGAAATAGGGTCTTGTGTCACTGAGGCTGGCCTTGAACTCACTGCATAGTTGAGGATGACCTCATGCTCCTGATCTTCCTGCCTCCATCTCCTTTTTTGTCTCTTTAACTAAAAAATTAGGGTCTGGAGAGATGGCTCAGTGGTTAAGAGCACTGGCTGTCTTGCAGAGGACCTGGGTTCAATTTCCAGCACCCATGTGGCAGCTAACAACTGTAACTCCAGTTCCAGGGGATCTGAAGTCTTTCTCTGACTTCTGTGGGCATTACACCACATGGGTGCAGTTACACATGCAAGCAGTACACTCATACACATAAAATAAAAGCAATAAATAAAATATATATTTTTTTAAAGTGCTGGGCGTGGTGGCGCACATCTTTAGTCCCAGCACTTGGGAGGCAGAGGCGGGTGGATCTCTGTGAGTTTGAAGTCAGCCTGGTCTACATAGTGAGTGCCAGGCCAGCTGGGACTATAGGAAGACCCTGCTTCAAAAAGACAAAAAAAAATTTTTTTGACTACTATCTTTCCCCATTATTTTTGTTTGTTTGTACTTAACAGAACATCCTTGAGACCACTTCCTTATTGAGATTTTCCTCTTTGTTTTTCAATTGTGTGGATAGATCATAATTTATTCACTAGCTCCCCCTTTGAAGGTATTTGAATAGTTTCTAGTCTTGAATAACTTTATGTACATAATACTTCTATTCCACTAGCTGAGATTGTAGCTGAGCATGGTGATACATGCCTGCTGACTCAGGAGACTGAGACAGGAGAATCTCTAGTTCAAGGTCAGCCTGAGCTATATAGTGAGATGTTTTCTCAAAATAAATAAATCACTGAGAGATGGCTCAGTGGTTAAGAGCACTGACTGTTCTTGCAGAGGACCTGGGTTCAAATCCCAACACCCGCATGACAGCTAACAGCTGACTGTAACTCCAGTTCAGGGGATCCAATGCCCTCTTCTGTCCCCCTTGGACATTGTACTGCATGGGTACACTTGCATACATGTACACAATACACACATACTCATAAAATAAAAATAAAGCAAAAAAAGGTTTTTTTAATTAAAACTTTGAGTAGTTTTAATAAACATTATTCCTGTGAGTGAAATTGAAGACTTTCCATATGTTTAAGGAGTATTTGTTTTATATTTTCTTTTTCTAGGAGGTATCATGCCATTGGTCCATTTTTCTGTCAGGATTTTGGTCTCTTTCCTTCTCACTTATTGGGAGTATTTTATATAATATGAAAATTTAGTCCTCTGAGATAGAAACTAAAAGTTCTTTCAGTCTGTCTGAAGCTGAGAACCAAACCCAAAGCCTTGTGTTTGCTAGGTAAGTGCTCTGTCACTGAGCTAAATCCACAACCCGTGGTTTGTTTGTTTGTTGTTTTTTTAAGTGATTCATTTATTTTTTGCACAAGTGTTTTGTTTGGGGTTTTTTTTTTTTTTTGAGACAGGGTCTCCCTGTAGCCCCAGCTGACCTGGAACTCACTGTGTAGACCAGGCTAGCCTTGATCTCACAGAGATCTGCTTAGCTCTGCCTCCAGAGTGCTGGAATTAAAGGCTTGCACTACCATACCCAACTTGCACAAGTGTTTTGATTACCTGTATATGTACCTGGTATGTGTGTAGTGCCTGTGAAGACTGGGAGAGGGCCACAGAACTACCATGTGGGTGCTGGCAATTGAACCCAGGTTCTTAGGAAAAATAGCAAGTTCACTTAACCCCTATGTCATTTCTCCAATCCATTTTGTTTTTTGTTTTATAAATTTGTCATTTCATGAGTTTTTTAAAAAGCTTATTTTTATATAATCTCATACAACTTTCTTCAGTTGCTTCTGGATTTAATTTTTCTTGATTTTTGTGGTTGAAAAGGTTTTTTTTATTGTGTAGAGGTAAATGCCATGGCACTTGTGTGACAGAGGACAGTTTGCAGGATTTGGTTCATGCCTTCTACCATGTATGTCTCAGGTATTGAATTCAGATTGTCAGACTCAGCAAGTGCCTTTACCTGCTAAGCCATCTTGCTGGTCCACTCTGGATTTTGAGTCATAGTTAGGAGGGTGTTTTGTACTCTAGAGTTATAAAGTAGTTCACGCCTGTTTTAGTATTTGGTTTATTTATCTTTACTTCATAGCATAGAAAAGTTTGGACATATACAAAAGTTGAATATTCTCTTATTAGTCAGTCTCAAGGTGCTTTTATTATTTATTTTAAATTTTTTTATTTATTATTTTTGTGTGTATGAGTGTATTGCCTGCATGTATGTAAGTGCGCATGTGTCATGCAGTGCCCTTGGAGGTCAGAAGAGGGCATTGGATTCTCTGGAACTGGAGTTGCAGATGGTTGTTAGCCTCCGTGTAGTGCTAGGAATCAAACCCAGGTCCTCTGCAAGAGCAGCCAGTGCTCTCAGCCTCTGAGCCATCTCTTGAGCCCCCTATTTATTTATTTTGAGGCAAGGTCCTACTATGTAGCCCTGGCTGGCCTGGAACTCATTATATAGAGCAGGCTGGCCTTGAACTCATTATATAGAGCAGGCTGGCCTTGAATTCACAGAGATCCACTTACCTCTAGTGTTATCAGTTCATGAGCACTGAACTTGACATTCATTCTTGTTCTTGGTTTTATCTTATAGCCCCTAAGATTTCTGCGGGTACCAGCTGTATAAAGTGGGAGGAGCAAACACCAGAGCAAATATTCAGACTTTATCTTGCCATTGGACATATAGTAAGTTGAAAAGCTGGGTTATAGTTTTACCTTACTGTTTTTTTTTTGTTGTTGTTGTTGTTGTTGTTTTTCTTAAACATGTATTCAGTTTGCTTTCTGAATATTTTTACTTCAGAATGAATCTTATAAATTAAACCTAGAAGCTGGGCATGGTGACGCATGCCTTTAATCCCAGCATTTGGGAGGCAGAGGCAGGCAGATCTCTGTGAGTTTTCAGGACAGCTGAGGCTACAGGGAATCTCTGTCTCAAAAGACCAAAAAATTAATTAATTAATTAATTTAACCTAGGAAATTTCCTTAAACTTTAAGTTTTGATAGGAGCATTGGAATTCACAAAGCACTTTCAAATACACATTTTGCAGTATCTCATAATCAAGTTTGATTATGTCATATCATAGACAAGGAGAATGAAAACAAGGTGATTGTTAGGTATGGCCAGTCACTCAAACCGTGAATCTAAATCTTCTAATTCCAAATCCAAATTTTTTTCTAGTACTTTGATCAATATTTTACAATTAGATTTTTTTTTAATTTTCTTTTTCTTTTTTTTCAGTCTTTTTGAGACAGGGTCTCCCTATAGCCCCAGCTGTCCTGGAGCTCACTATGTAGACCAGGCTGGCCTTGAACTCACAGAGATCTGCCTGCCTCTACCTCCCAAGTGCTGGGACTACAGGTGTGCGCCACCATGCCCAGCTTTATTTTCATTTTTAATTATAGGGGAGCATTTATGTACATGTGTGAGTGCAGGTGCCCACAGAGACCAGAAGAGGGCATCAGATCCCCTGGAGCTGGAGTTACAGGTGGTTGCTAGCTACCATGTGGGTGCTGGGAACCAAACTCAGGTTCTCTTTAAGAGCAGTAAGTGCTTTTAACTGGTGAGCCATCTTTCTAGCCCCAGATTTTTTTTTTTGGTCTTGACATTGTCTCACCATGTAGCCCTGGCTAGAACTTGCTATGTAGACCAGGCTGACCTTTGCCTCCTTCCTGAGTGCTGAGATTAAAGGCAGGCACTACCACTCCCTGTGTGTGTGTGTGCATGTATCACTCAGTCTGGTCCAGGCTGGCCTGAAACTTGCTATGTAGTCTATACAGGCCTCCTACTCAGGCATTCCTCCTGCCTCAGCCTTCCAAGTGCTGAGCTTACTCCTATACCTGGCTTGTTTCATTTTTTTAAGACAGGGTCTCATTACACATGCCTTTAATCCCAGCACTCAGGAGGCAGAGGCAGGTGGATCTTTGTGAGTTCAAGGCCAATCTAACCTATGTAGTGAGTTCCAGGTCAGCTAGAGCTACAGGGAGACCCTGTCTCAAAAAAATAAATAAATAAATAAAAAGCAGCATTGAAGTACTAAAGTACATTCTGAAAATAAATGTACTCAACTTATTTCCTGGTATGTTAATTTTTTTTGCCATTTCAGTCAACTTATAGGATCTCAGGTGTATTGTAAATATTTTAAAATAGCAAAAATGGCATTTCACATTAAGGGAAGCAGAAATGGATTATCCAGTGACTAGCACTGATTTATGTATGTGTTTGTGTGTCCGAGTGTATGAGCGTGTGAGTTCACAGGTACATGTGCCTGTGCATGCACAGAGGTTAGAATAGGCCAATGAATCCTTCAGAGCTGGAGTTACAGCTATTTCTTAGATCCTAGGCTTGTTTCATGGGTAGTAGATCTGAACTCCAGTCCTCAAGATTCCACAGCAAGCTCTCTTCACCACTGAGCCATCTCTCTAGTCCCAGAAGGAGCTTTCTATTTTTTTAAATCTTATTTATTATTTTTATTTTATGTGTATGAGTGTATTGCCTGCATGAATGTAAATGCACCTGTGTCATGCAATGCCTGCGGAGGACAGAAGAGGCTGTCGGATCCCGTGGAACTGGAGTTACAGACCATGTGGGTGCTGGGATTCGAACCTAGGTCTTCTGCAAGAACAGCCTGTGTTCTTAACCTCTGAGCCATCTCTCCAGCCCAGAAGGAGCTTTCTTAATTCTACCTTTTAAAGTCAAACTGCTGTATAGATGTATAGTTGCTATATAATAAACAAGGCTATATACCTGAAATTTGTTAATAGGGTAAAATTCATGTTTTGAATTTTTTACTATAAGAGAATCAAAGTCTAGATGGATCAAAGATTTGTTTTTTCAGTAATGAAATATTCTTTTTATAAACATATTAGTTGTATAAACTGTGATTAATTCATAAGAAAGAACACTGTGCACAGACATGGTGAAATTGTCATATGTGCTTGTCCATGGCTTCTGGTTAAGTAACAAAAGTGCCCTGTGAAGCAGTGTTTCAGGTTTTTGTAGTAGTAACATTTGGGGGAGATGGAAGCAGGGAAACACACCAGTCTGTTCACAGTGGTTACATCTTGTGGTGAAAACATAAAACACTATCACTTTCTGAAATTTTAACATAAATGCTGTAATTCTTGCTTCTTTCATAATGAGCATAAAAGTTTAATTGAAAATATTAAAGTTACTAGTTGACTTTACCATAACAAGAGTTTATAAATCCTGGAAAGACTGATATAGAGGGTCATGTTGATCTTCTTTTCCCTAAAATTTAGTGACTGAGTCCACTTTCTTCTGGACATGGAAAAAAAGACCAGGTTCATATAAAACAGTGTTGCATGGATTGGGAGTCAAGTTGTTCCTTTATGATTTAATTTCAATTCCAGGTTCCATTGCAGACACTCTGGATGGAGAATACCATTAAACTTCTGGATTTGTTAGAAGTGACGGACTCTGACCTCACAGGTACTAACATTTGAATAACTTGACATGAAAGCTCACTAAAGTCTATTTGAAAATGTATCAGTTTCTTTTTTGCCACAGTCACATTTACTGAAAAGGGGATTCACACATGTTTTCAGTGCAGTGATGAGAGCACTGTACATTTGCTTATTGTCTTATGCTTTGCGCTGTCCATTCACATGTAATTTCTCACTTAATCATCCCAGGAGCCCAGGAAGTCGGTAGAGCAGTGTTGTATCTTCTTTGAGCTCTGTGACTTCCTGCATTAAGGTTCGAGGGGAGGGCTGCAGAAAGACTTGTTGACTTTATCCTGGTGAATATCATAATAGGAATGTTTGGGTGGTTCCGTGAGTGCAGCGTTTCATGCCACAGTTCCTGTGAGCAGGAGTGTATGCTGCAGAGGGAGCCGTCCCAGTGTAGAGGTAGTGGGGGGTCCCCAAAACTGAGAATCGTGACCAACTTGTGCAGGACTGGAGAGGCCAGATTAAGTCCTAAGCATCCTGTAAGCCACTTCACTAGTGAACAGTAATCTCCTTAAAATGACAGTACTGAACTTCACAGATTCAGCATTTTAGGTGATCCCTGGAAGGCTGAAGGACTTCGAGCTTCTGCTGTGTGTGGACAGCCTCCTTTAGCTCTGTAATGTAGCCAGAGCACCAAGGCTCTACTGGGCTTTGGATCAGAGTCAGGGTATCAGTTAATGCCTCCTCTCCTGGGTTAATTTTAAATTTTCTTTGGTTGGTTGGTTTGGTTTTGTTTCTTTTTAAAAAAAAAATTTATTTATTATTTTTATTTTATGTGTGTTAGTGTTGTGCCTGCATGTAGGTCAGTGCACCTGTGTTGTGCAATGCCCATGGAGGACAGAAGAGGCTATCGGATCCCCTGGAACTGGAGTTACATACAGTTGTTAGCTGCCATGTGGGTGCTGGGATTCGAACTCGGGTCTTCCGCAAGAACAGTCAGTGTTCTTAACCACTGAGCCATCTCTCCAGCCCCCTGGTTTGTTTTCTTTTTAAGCTGGGTATCACTATGCAGCCCTCGCTGGCCTGGAATTTACTATGTAGACCAAGCTGGCCTCAAACTCCCAGAGATTTACCTACTTCTGCTGGTGTTAAAGGTGTGTTAGATTCTTTGGCTTTTTCTTTTTTCTTTCTTTCTTCCTTTCTTTCTTTTTTTTTTTTTTTTTTGGTCTTTTTGAGACAGGGTCTCGCTGTAGCCCCACGCCGAGCATTGTGGGGTTTTATTTATCTACTTATTTATTTTTCCACTGCCCAGAGTCTTGCACTTGCTAGGCAAGTGCTGTACCGCTGAACCACATCCCACCCAAAGGTGGGTTTTTTGGTTGTTGGGTTTTTTTTTTTGGCTTTTTGAGACAGGGTCTTCCTATAGCCCCAGCTGTCCTTTAACTCACTATGTAGACCAGGCTGGCCTTGAACTCACAGAGATCTGCCTGCCTCTGCCTCCCAAGTGCTGGGACTACAGGTGTGCACCACCACGCCTGGCAGTTGTTGTTTTTTTTTTAATACTATTTTTAATTTTTTTTTTTTAGAAGAAGCATATCATTACAGCTTTAACATGCCTAATAACAGTTTCCAGAGCAAAGACACAGCTTCTTCAAAAATGGCTATAAAATTTCTAGGTTCGCTGTTGAATCAATAGTTATACAATATTGAACTCAGTATAAGCTCTGTAAGACATAAAATTGAATGAGTTTTTAACCCTCAAAAGGGTTTCATTCTAAAATATACCGTTTCTTACAAAAAGACTCATTGTTTTTGCTATTAACACTGAGATGTTGGCACGCATCTCTAATCTGTATGTATCTGATTATTACTACTCATAATTGTTTGCACTCGGACCCTTGGCACCTGTGTATGTCTAAAGTCATCGGGTAGATTTCAGTGGTAATGTTCATCACCTCTACTAATTAACATTACATAAACTTTTATGCTTCCTCCTCAAATATAATACATTTTTTAAAATTTGTTTTTTTTTTTCTGTGTGTGTATATCACACAGAACATCCCAAACCATCTCATTCAGCTATACACCCACTTCCCAGATGGCACCCCCCCCATAGCCTCCCTCCCCCGACTAGAGCCCTTATACTCTGTCATCCCTGCTACTGTCCACTGTGTTGTCGGGAACCCCAGCCATTCCCCACTACTTGTCCATCTGGTGAATCTAGTCAGCTTATCTAGAGGTCTTTGTTTTGGGAAGGTCCGCTGTTCTTCATCTAGCAGCAATCAGTTGTCAGTATTCCTTTAGACAAGATTGGGGTCTGCTGTTCATTTTCTCAATTCTGTGCTGGGTTACTATTTGGGAGTCCCTTTGGCCACCCTGGCCAATAACCCAAAAGAAGGAATCTCCTATCTGGCATTGTTGCTTGTTGTGTAGCCTTTAACTGTACATATGGACTCTTAAAAAACTATATTGGCCCCTTTAATCTTTGGTTTTACTTTCCTCTTAAGTGTTTAAGGCCATATAGTTGGCCCAGATAAACCAATTTATTTTTACTCTTAAGGTCATTTGAGGATCTGTTCCTTAGGGGTCACATGGGCTTGGGAGGAGCCCCTGGCTCCTTTCTTTTACCAGTTCCGCCTATGTGAAGATAAGTCAAAGGTCCTGCTCAACCATGGCTGGCTTCACTTGGAAGCATGGAGGAAATGTTTCCTCTGTGTTTACTCTCCCCTTTGTAGACTGGACACTGGTTCATGTCCATCTTGTGGGATCTCCTTGGCCTCCTTGATCAAGAGGTGCTCAACCCCACCACAGTTACAGTACATTTTGGGAGATGCTCATAGTCCCCTGGAACTAGTCAACCTAGGAGGGCAAAGACCAAAATGTGTCCTTTATGTCCCTCTGACCAAATTAGTATAGGCCTCAAAGTATGTCTGTTAAACATCCAAGAAGTTTTTTTTTGTTTTTTTTTTTTTTTTTTGGTTTTTTTTTGGCAAGGCTTCCCTGTCGCCCCCCCCGACCCGGAAACCACAAAAATCCGCCTGCCTCTGCCTCCTGAGTACTGGGATTAAAGGCGTACACCACCATGCCCAGCCCAGTCTGGTACTTTTAATTATTGTGTGCCATGTAGATAAATCTTGGGCAAAGACCAATTATTCTCAGATAAACCTTACCTAGACATATTTCTTGATCTGGTATGTATAATTTGTCAGTAGGTTGTTGACTAATATGGTTCCCTCTGGTTTTCAAAACTAGCTAGGCATTATTTATCTCTCGCATTGTCTCACCCCTCCATCATGTTTTCCCACTTAAGGTGCCCCCATTTTCCTGCTTTCTCCCTTAATAATACCCTTCTCCTATGGTCCTACCTCTCTTGAGCTCCTTCTTTCCCTTTATCCCCTAGGTTCTGTGTATACCCTTCCCTCCCCGCCCCCTTAAACTATCCCAATTTTTATCCATATCTCCCTTATTAAGGCCTGTTTCCTACTGTTCTTCTCTTTCAGGTTCTTTCTTTTCCTTTACCTCCGAGGTTCTTTTCCATTATCCTGGTTCCTGTACTTATGTCTGGATACATACTCACTTATCAGGATTTGGTTCTAGGATCCAGATATGCGGGAGAACATACGA